TCACATGAGAATGAAGGCAAGAAAAGAAAGGACCAGATGGCATCAAAAGATATGCCTTTCTAGGTCATTGGTGGTTAAGCTTGCAATCTGGTTACCAGCAGGGAGATTGGGGGACAGGGTGGAGAGCAGCACAGCACCATTGTAAGGGAAGAAGAATTCTGTCATACAGTTCGTTTCGTAATTTGCTGGAGAGAAAAAACTTACATATGGAAGATGATGGATTTTCTGATTTAACTTTCCAGTTTACAGTCACAGGGAATCCATTGCATTTACTTAAAGGGGCATATAAGCACATGGAAAAAGTATGTATAATATCTGAATGGCCACTTTGAAAAGTGTGGCTCTGCCTTGGTCAGCTGCTGTCCTTTCAACTTCCATTAACCCTTTGTTACTCCGTTCTCCTAATGCCTGATTCACTTACAAGTATTAATACAAAAACTGGAGGAAATAACATTTAGCTCCCCCACATATACCTGTCCCCTTAGAAGAGCAGAGGACATTATTCAGACTCATTCTTCATGAGGACCCTACTTACAAAATATGGACAATGGCATCACTGGCCTTTGTAAGACATATCTCAGGGTATGTTTTCTTGGTATAAACTGTATCTTGGAACACATTTAAAACTACTTGACTGAAGAAATATTCAGTAGTGGAACCCTTCTACCCTGTTGGTGGGAATGTAAATTGGTCCAGGGACTATGGAGAACAGCATGCGTGCATGCTAAGTCGCTTTAGTCATATGTGACTCTGTGGATTGTAGCCCGCCAGTCTCCTCTGTCCATGGGATTCTCCAGACAATACTGGAGTGGGTTGTCATGCCCTCCTCCAGGGGATCTTCCTGACCTAGTGATTGAACCCATGTCTCTTAGATCTCCTACATTGGCAGGCAGGTTCTTTACCACTAGCACCACCTGGGAAGCCTGGAGAACAGTATAGAGTGTCCTTAAAAAACTGAAAACAGAGTTACCGTATAATCCTGCAATTCTACTCTTGGAGTATATATCCAGAGAAGACTAATTCAAAAAGATATATACACCCCAATGTTTATTGCAGCACTATTTATAATAGCCAAGACATGGAAGCAGCCTAAATGTTCACCAAGGGATGAATGATAAAGGAGATGTGGTGTGTATAGACACACACACACACACATATATATAATGGAATCTTACTCAGCCATAAAAAAGAAGGAAATGCTATTTGCAGCAACATGGATGAACCTGGAGATTATCAGATTAAGTGAAGTAAGTCAGATATAGAGAAAGACATCATATGATATCACTTATTTGTGGAACCTGAAAAAATTAGATAAATGAATTTATTTACGAAACAGAAATAGACTCACAGACATAGAAAATAAAATTATGGTGGGGAGATAAATTAGAGTTTGAAATATACACACTTCTATATATAAAACAAACAAGGACCTACTGTATAGCACAGGGAATTATATTCAGTATCTTGTAGTAGCCTATAATGGAAAAGAATCTGGAAAAAAAAATGTGTCACACACACACACACACACACACACACACACACATAAAACCAAATCACTTTGCTGTACACCTGAAACTAATGCAACATTGTAAATTAACTACACTTACATTTTAAAGGATGATCTAAAAAATTGACCTGACTGAAGAAATGTTCAGTTGTGACTAACAGTATTTTGGAGGGGCAGTCTGCCTTCCTGGCTCATTTAGACATTACTTACACCTTGACTCCTTTGGCCGGGGCAGTTCCTGATTTGACAATGCTGTTGTAGATCACCAGACTGCTGAACTTGGTTGATATTTCCTTATTAAATTCCAACTCAGTTGTTTTGTTGTGAATGAAAAAAAATCTAAAGTATTTTTAATTTTAGGTTTAAACTTGGTCCCAATATTTGAATTTTAAATTTTTTACTGTTTTAATTACCATGCTTTTTTCATAAACAAATTCAGTATCCTTTAAGTTTCAACCTCTTTTATTAGGCTGTCTTCTTCAGTTATAATCTCTTCTTTCATTTAGATTCTGTCACCCTTGATATCTGTATGACTCATTTCATTGTGAACCAACTGAAACAAAATATATTTCATTCTGTAGTCTAGATTGTAAACTGTTAAAATTTACCTTTCTTTTTTTTACTTCTTCCACTCAGGCGTCCAGAACATTGCTGAGTACACAAAAGTCATGTAGTAAATATACAACTGAATGATTTTTTAAAAGGAAGAAAACATTTTAATACTGTTAGTTGATTTCTGCCCAGATTTTATTTTTTCACATTAAAGCATAGTTCATTTTATTCATCTTTTTTATCTTTATCATTTTTATTTATCCAGTTGATTCACACTGATGTGCCAATCTCTACTATACAGCAGGTGACTGTTATACATACATACATATATATATTCTTTTTTTAAAGCATTCTTTTCCATTATGGTTTATCCGAGGAGATTGGAAATAGTTCCCTGTACTATCCCTGGGACCTTGTTGTTTATCCATTCTAAATGTAATATTTGCATCTGCCAACCCCAGACTCCCAGTCCATACCTCTCCCGCCCCCCCCCCCCCCCACCCTGGGAACCACAAGTCTGATCTCTGTGTCTGAGTCTGTTTTATATGTAGGTATGTTAATTTGTGACGTATTTTAGATTCCACATGTAATGATATCATATGGTATTTGTTTTTCTGATTTACTTTATTTAGTATGATCATCTCTACTTTTATCCATGTTGCTGTACATTCTGCTTAGATTTTAATATGACTTTAACTTAGATTTTACAAAACAGAAAATTGACCCACACATTTTCTTCTGCACCCCCCCATTTTTTTCTTGATGTACAACTGTAGTAAGGAGTCATCTGAAACTTTTTAAACTAAAAGTTCTACATATGTACTCAATTTCTGGGATTAAATATGACAAGTTATTCCTTTGGCAAAATACTTGTTAACTTTGCAATTTTTTTTTAGATGATTGAATTCAAAGCCCTCTTGGGAGCCTCTAATTATTGCAAGAGAACCACCACCAGTCTCTCTCCACCCTCCAGTCATATCATATGAGTTCAGTTATTAGGCATATGCTATAATAATCCTAATGAAGAGTTTAAAGGCCCTTTTTACTGTGGACCTTATTTTGTTTAGTTTTAGCCTGTGATCAATTAAGAGTCCTCACCTAAGAAATTTTCCAATTAAAAATTACAATTCTGTGATTTTGGTTTGTACATCAGGGGAGGAGAGTGACTTTAAAATTGTTAAATCTCATTAACTAGGAATCCATTGATAAACTTTTAAGGAAAATTTAAAAAAAATTTTTTTTTCTTTATCCACATTAGGTATGTCAGGTTTCAGCCTGCAGCCAATTACTAGATTTGAGTTATTGACCTCAATAAAGAGATTTGGAATGGAAATACTAACAGACCTCTGACTATGCTGGGCTAGTAGGTACTAGAAGAATCTTGACAATTCATCGGCCAAACCTCACTTCACTACCGTTAACATCCTTGCCTGTCAGTGACATAATTGGCTGCCTTCTGCTATCCCTCCTTGAACTTGCTAGCATTTGAGAATTTCTCTTGACATTATTTCTTATGTATTAAGGCAGAGAAAGCATAGTTTGATGGGTGAGCTAGTAAACCGTTTGACCGTCTTTGAGGAGAAAATGGAGGATGTGTTTTGTTCCTGCGGCAGTTGACACAGTTGCTAAATGTTCAATTATAGTTCTTTAAGGAATAGGGCTAATCTGTGAACACATTTGTGGGTTTTCTTTTCAGATAGACTACTAACTTGTGGATTAAGTTATACATTATGAACCGCAGAACCACATATGTAAACTAATATTGATTCAGGGTGAAATTATGTATCCAGAATTCTCATCATGGTAATCATAGTTCCTGTAGGGTAGGTACATGGGCTTCTCTGGTAGCTCAGCTAGTAAAGAATCTGCCTGCAATGGAGGAGACCTGGTTCGATCCCTGGACTGGGAAGATCCCCTGGAGGAGGGCATGGCAACCCATTCCGGTATTCTTGCCTGGAGAATCCCCATGGACAGAGGAGCCTGGTAGGCTATGGTCCAGGGACTCAAAGAGTCAGACACGACTGAGCAACTTCAGCACAGCACAGCAGAGCACACGGGGCACATGGAATGTAAATTCACGAGGCTCTCTGCTAGCATATACAGGAAACATTTCTGTATCCAGCCCACAGGATGAGTGCGTTAAAGAGTACAGTGACTTTTGGTGAGGAATTCTGTCACCTGGCTTTTTTCCAGGTATAGAATATGGGAGGTGGGTAGTAAGAGAGGGGAGAGGGAGACAGAGAAATAAGGAAAAGCTAATGATAGCTGATACACTTAGATATTAGGAAGCAGGGACTATTTTATAGGTTGTTGATTCAGTGCCTGGAATTGACTTTAGAGCCATGTATTTTGTTTCACCCTATCCTCACTGGCCACAAAATTTTGCTGTTTTTGTTGTGCTGGATCATATGAAGTTGTCCTTTTTATAAGTGAGAAATGGCTGAGTATCAGAAATTTTATATGGTTTAAACTAATGCATAATAATATAAACACTATAGGATGGCTACGGTTGTGGAGAGGGGTGTGTGTGTGAATGAAAGGTGGAAGGGAGGAAATGGAAATTTATGAGCCTTTTTGGGTAGTGAAGCTGAAAACCTCTAACCTAGCCTTTGGTCTTATACATTCAAAATCAAATACAGTTGCCCAATGTTTTCCTACTTCTACATTAATACAGTTGAGAAAGTTTATGGGACTGGTTAAAATTAAATCACCTGTGACAGAGATTACTATTGGGGATAATAATCTGAAGTGACCCATTTCTGCAGTGTACAACAAAAGTGGCAGGAAACGGAAAGCCAGTAGTAGGCACGCCTGCACTTGAATACAGATACTTTTTTGAAACTGAATAATGTGCAGGTTCTTATTTGTCTTAAAATAGGCTCTAAGATGTTTTCAGTGGAATATTCAGACTGCTGATTTGACTTACCTTTGTCTTTCTTAGACGAGCTCATCTCCGCCTGTGTTTAGAACGCTTAAAAGTTCTGATTCCACTAGGACCAGATTGCACCAGGCACACAACACTTGGTTTGCTCAACAAAGCCAAAGCACACATCAAGGTAGGAATTTTTTTTTATCTTATTTTCACATGACTCTCTCAGTCCTGCTCTCTTTTTAGTAGTAATTTCTGTTCACATATATTAGCTAGCTCACAATGCTCTCCTTTAATAACTGACCTCAAGAGAAATTTTCTGAAAATTTAACGCTAATCTGATAGGAACAGCATAATCTGATCACACTAAATTGTTTTGACAGCATGGCCATTTTAAGAGCTGGGAATACGAGGAAAATGTTACTCTGCTGATACCCGAAGGGAGGCAGTTGTGCCCCCTGGTGGAGATGACTCTGGCTGTGTCCCTCAGTGTTTTTCCATCAGGCTATACTGCAGAGCAGTTTTCTCTTTTATGGCAATAACTTGACAGACTTTGAAAATCCCATATTGTTCTGGTAATGTAGCATTCATTATACACACACACACACACAAGGTGAAGAAAAAATTAGTTTTGATGTTTAAAAATACATACTTATGTATGTTTTTATACACACACATACACTTGTATAGTCATTCATGTTTTCTCTGTCAAAGAAGAAATCTTCTGAGATGTTAGGAATCAATTTTACTGTTTGTACTGTACAGTCCACAAACTTAAATATCACTGTATCATTTCAGAAACTTGAAGAAGCTGAAAGGAAGAGCCAGCACCAGCTAGAGAATTTGGAACGAGAACAGAGATTTTTAAAGCGGCGACTGGAACAGCTGCAGGGTCCTCAAGAGATGGAACGAATACGAATGGACAGCATTGGATCAACTATTTCTTCAGATCGTTCTGATTCAGAGCGAGGTAGGCAGTGAGCTTCTTCCCTAATGAAACACAAACCATCCCTGTCTCTGAATTTAGAGAGGGTAGGATGGGTGGCATTGTGTTTGCTTCCTTCTTCTACACCAACACTGTATGCAGCAGTCTAGATTTTATGCAGTCACAACATTGTCTAGCAATGCCTGTATGAACTATAGAACATTTTTTCTTGGTTATATATATATATACTCATATATATATATCAAATATTCCACTTTGAAAAAATTTTAGACTTAAAGTTGTAAGCTTTCTGTAGAAAATTGTTCTCATATACCCTTCACCCAGGTTCCTCTAATTTTAATATCTTATGTAACCATAATACAGCTATTGAAACCAAGAAATTAACATTCATACAATATATTCATCTATTAACCTTATTCAGATTTCACTACTTTTCCTAACAATGTTCTGTGTCTGATCTAGGATCCAGTGTAAGATCTCCATTGCCTTAGAAATATTTCTTCAGTCTTTCTTTCGTGACCATGACACATTTGAAGAATATTGGTCATTATTTTATTTTATACAGTGTTCCTCAATTTGGGTTTATCTGATGTTTTCTGTTAGACTGAGGTGTTACATATTTGAGGGGAGAAATACCACAGAAGTGATGCTGTGCCCTTCTTAATTCATTGTATCAGGAAGATACATGATGTTGATATGTTTTATTACTGGTGATGTTAATTTTTATATCTGTATTTTAAAGTATGACACCCTCCATTTCTCGTTACATCTGTCCCAGAACATTTGTCTTTGGCAGAATTAAAGAAAAGCAACCAGAAAATAAATTGTAATTGTTTGAATTTTACTGATCTGTTCATCTATAGCTCCCACCACATCAGGCCTCACACCACAATAAAAGATCCCAGAGGTGAACTCTGGTCACTTCATATTTGAGAAACTAGAGCTCACAAGGTTTTGAGGATTCTGAAACAAAAGAGAAAATTTTGTAAAATTTCTTTTTATTATGGAAATTTGAAAAAAAAATTATTATTTTTGGTTGCTGTGCAAGGACTTTCCTCTAGTTGTAGTCTAGAGGTTCCTCGAGGCTACTCTTCATTGCAGTATACAAGCTTCTCATTACAGTAACTTCTCTTGTTGGGCTCTAGAGCCCAGGCTCAGTAGTTGTGGCATGTGGGCTTAGTTGCCCTGAGGTATGTGGAATCTTCCTGAACCAGGGATTGAACCCATGTCTCCTGCATTGGCAGGTAGATTCTTAACCACTGGACTACCAGGGAAGTCCTATTATGGAAAACTTAAAACGTATACTAAAGTAAACAGAATAATGAACTCTCAGGTATCCATCATCCAGCTTGTATAGCTGTCAACATTTTGTCATTCTTTTTTCACCTGTTCTCTACCACCTGTATGCCCTGACCATTTCTTCTGAAGTTTTTAAAATCAAATCTCAGGTAACATTTCATTTTGTTCCTAAATACTTCACTATGTATCTTTAATAAATAGGACTTTAAAAAATACATAATACTGTTATCACGTCCCATAAAATTAATATTGAGTTGGCCAAAAGTTCATTTGATTTTTTTCCGTAAGTTGTGTCTAGTATTGCTTAGTTGTTTTTAATTTCATTCACAACAATTTTATTAGATTGTACTGTGATAGCTCTCATATCAGTGTGCATATTTTTAAAAACTTTAGTGAATTTTCATGTAGCCATTTTAATATTGAAGATGGGAGAAAAAAAACAACATTTTCAGAATATTATATTATTTCAAGAAAGATAAAAATGCAACTGAAACACAAAGATTTGTGCAGTGTATGGAGAAGTTGCCGTGACTAATCAAATATGTCAAAAGTAGTTTGTGAAGTTTTGTGCTGGAGATTTCTTGCTGGACAATGTTTCACAGTCAGGTTGAAGTTGATAACAATCAGATTGAGACATTAATTGAGAACAATAAACGTTATACCACAAAGGAGACAGTTGACATACTCAGAATATCCAAATCAAGCATTGAAAATCATTTGCATCAACTTAATTATGTTAATCGCTTTGTTTGGGTTCCACATAAGAAGGTACTTGACTGTATTTCTGCATGTGATTCTCTGCTGAAACATAACAAAAGCATTGTTTTTAAATCAAATTGTGATGGACAATGAAGAGTGGATATTGTACAATAATGTGGAATGGAAGACATCACGGAGCAAGCAAATTGAAACACCAACCACATCATCCAAAGGTTATCTTGTGTATATGGTGGAACTGGAAGGAGTCTTCTATTATGAGCTCCTTCTGGAAAACCAAATGATTAACTACAACAAGTACTGCTCCCAGTTAGACCAAGTGAGAGCAGCACTCAATGAAAAGTAATTACACTCGTCTGTAATTAGTCAACAGAAAATGCATTATCTTCCATCAGGGTACCACAAGACTGCTTGTTTATTTGATGACCAGGCAAAAACTTCCAGCTTGACTGGGAAGTTCTGATTCATCTGCTATATCCACATTCCACCTTCTGATTTCCATTTATTTCAGCCTTTACAAAATCTTCTTAATGGAAAAAATCTTAGTTCTCTGAAAGACTATCTTTTTCAGTAAAGAACTGTTCCAGGTGCCTTTTACAAAGTTTTAGGAAGATGGAATTATGAAGTTGCCTGAAAAATGGCAGAAGGTAGTGGAACAAAACTGAATTTATTGTTCAGTAAACTGCTTGGTGAAAGTGAAAAATCTGTCTTGTATTTTTACTTAAAAACCAAAGAAACTTTATGGCCAACCCAATAAAATTGGATAATCCTATTTAATGTCATCTAACACCCAGTCTCTGATTGGAGAGGGAAATGGCAGCCCACTCCAGTATTCTTGCCTGGAGAATCCCAGGGACGGGGGAGCCTGGTGGGCTGCCATCTATGGGGTCGCACAGAGTCAGACATGACTGAAGCGACTTAGTAGCAGCAGCAGCAGGAGCAACACCTAGTCTCTAATAGATTTTTCTCAAAAAAGGCATCTTACCATTGGTGTGTTTGAATCAGAATCCAAAGTCTACATTACATTTGTTTGTACCTTTTAAGTACAGTTGGCCCTTGAACAGCACAAGTGTGAACTGAACAGGTACATTTATTTGTAGGTATTTTTCATTAAATATGTGTTACAGTACTACATGATCCATGGTTGGTTGAATCTGCAGATAGGGAGGGCTGACTGTAACAGTAGACTCATATTTTTCTCTTTGTGGAGGGTTGGCGTCCTTAACCCCCCATGCTGTTCAAGGGTCAACTGTACTTCTGTAGTTTTCCCTTTCCCACTTTTTTTCAATGCCATTTATTTGTTGTAGAACCTGGGAAACTGGATAATTTTTCTTAAGAGTTTCCCACATTCTAGATGTGACTGAATGAATCTTCATGGTGTCATTTAACATGTTCTGCCCTCATATTTCTTGTAAACTGGTTGACAGGTATAGGGGTTTGATTATATTCAGGTTGTTTTTTTTTGGAGGCACAGATACCTCATAGGTGGTGCTGTGTATTTCCTGTTGTATCAGTATTATTTTTAATTGCCCCATGCTAGTGATAACATTGGTCACTGGGTTCAGATGATGTCATCTTGATACATTAATACAAATATATCAGCCTTTTACTTAATAGTTTAACAGCTATTGATGATTGTTGCCCTGATCATTATTTCATTAGGTGTTCCAAAATTGTGATTTTCTATCATTGTTGTGTTTATTAATTTTTTTTTCTTTAAATAACATTTTTTCATCAACTGGTTACCTTCAAATAAAGTCTTTACTGGAAAGATGGGATAAATGCTTGTTTTTGCTTTATCAATTTTCTGAGTAATGAATTGACACCTTAGCAGTCTCCAGAGGTAACTTTTTTGTTTAACTCTTTGTTTTTATCTTGTAAACTCATTATTTTTTCATGTACTGAATATGTCCCAATCCACTGTAGTCATTCTTGTTAATTCTTTTTAATACCTGAATTCCACATATTCTGTGCTGCTGCTGCTAAGTCGCTTCAGTCATGTCCGACTCTGTGCAACCCCATAGACAGCCGCCCACCAGGCTCCCCCATCCCTGGGATTCTCCAGGCAAGAACACTGGAGTGGGTTGCCATTTCCTTCTCCAATGCATGAAAGTGAAAAGTGAAAGTGAAGTCTCCCAGTCATGTCCAACTCTTAGCGACCCCATGGACTGCAGCCCACCAGGCCCCTCCGTCCATGGGATTTTCCAGGCAAGAGTAGTGGAGTGGGGTGCCATTGCCTTCTCCACATATTCTGTGGGAACCTTTCAAATAGGTTTTTAACACAACCCTAGGAGTTCTTGCATTTGTTGTCATTATGTAAAAGCTTACTTTTTTTGTGTGGCACTTGGTTTTGAAGAACAGTAGTTCACCAGAAGCAGCAGCAAGAGCCTCAAGGTCCTAATGCATTTATGAGTGAGAGGCATAGCAGAAATAACCCTGCGTAAGGAGGTAGACCTTCGTCCTCGTCTGTCTTTTGCTGGCTACTAAGCTGTGTGACCTTGTTGAGTCTTCAGGCTTTAGCTGCCCTTGCTGCTATTATCTCCTCCAAATTTCAGAGAGGTAGTATGTCTTCATGATACCATTCCTGTTCTTACCTGGCAGCTCTCTTTCCCAGTGTTAGGGACTTTTAAATTTAGCATGCTCTATTGGATAGGGTGTTTTGATTTTGTTTCCCAAGTGTAGGTCGGATGAGTGTTCTGTGATCTAGGAAACACTAAATAGCCTGTGAAGGATTAATGGATATGAAGCAAATAGTTATGCATTCATATGATTATTTGTACAGTTTGCTGGATAACTGAGTGCATTTTAAAAAGATTGCTAAAACTTTTTGAAGCAATATGCCATCTTGAAAATTATATTCTTCAAAATGACTTGCTCTGTCTTCTTGTGCTCAGCTAGAATCCACTTTTCTAAAGCAACTGTGATCAGTGTGAACCGTTAAAATCAATGCCAATATGAAACATCAGGCTTTTGAATTTAAGAGAATTGAAGGGAGAAAATAGTCTTTCAGCTCAATTTAAAAAAAAAATATTGCTTTTCATGTATTATTGCTGATTACATATGTAGTATTTAACAGTTAAAATAGAGTATGTATAGATAGCTGGGTCACACATGTATTTAGATTTTATCATGTTTTGTTTTTGAAGTAAAGTTAAATACCACCAGTATTTAAAATACCTTTACTATAATCTTTACTATAGATCTGACTATAATCCAGAGACTCTTAAGCCTCATGCCCTCATTTCAAGCTATATTTGATAAAAGAAAATTAATTTGAAGACAAATCTGTGTTCTCTTTGCACTTTATAATGATTGTTTATTTTGGTTACTGAATAGTCAAAGATCTTTATGATGAATCCTGGAAGTCTATAGAGCTATACCACCAAAGGCCTGGATGGATACATATTCTATCTAGTTCATCTATATTATGTTATGTTCCCCCTCCCCACCAACCCCCATGAAGGGAGTTCTGTTTAAACATCACTTGAGAATTAGCTTCTAGTTTAAGGCAAAACAGATGTTGTTAAACTACTCAGAATTGGGATCTTTTAATATTAAACACTAATTCCCAACTAGGTCAAGTGCTTTTGGTGGAAGGTCTAGACAAACTGGTGTCAAAAGCTTTAGTGAACTTGCTACATAAATTGAGACCACCACTGTATACCATACATTTCTTTGCAAATATATCCATTTCTCATCTTTGGTTCCTTCTGCTCTTAAAGAGATCGCTGATAACAGTTTGTATAGTAATTCCTCTGTACTACAAAAGTAATTACTTTTCCTCATACCCTGTTCGTTCTTGCCAGTGCACATATACTGGATTACTAATGTTCCTCCTTTTTTCCCTTTGGCAGAGGAGATTGAAGTGGATGTTGAAAGCACAGAGTTCTCCCATGGAGAAGTGGACAATATCAGTACCACCAGCATCAGTGACATTGATGACCACAGCAGCCTGCAGAGTGTTGGGAGTGACGAGGGTTACTCCAGTGCCAGTGTCAAACTTCCGTTCACTTCCTAGAACCCAGCATGACATGACAGTGCAGGGCAAAATACTCACTGGGCCAATTCAATCCAAACAATCTCTTAAATTGGGTTCATGATGCAGTCTCCTCTTTAAAGCTAAGCAAAACTATACTTGAACAAAAGGGTCGAGAGACCTCTATTTAAGCAAATACTTAGCAAAAAGTGGGGCAGAGCCTCCCCAGCAGAACAAATATTCATAATATTCATATTTGAAAATCACAGTTTCTAATGGCAGCAGAAAATGTGTGTGAAATTTTCTCAATTTGATTTAGTTGATTTGAAAGAGGACACTGGAGATTACATCCTCTTTTTCTAGTTTCTAGTTTGCTCCTATCACATTGATTGAGTAGACACATTTAAGGATGGATTATGAACCCTTCCTGAGCTCTTTGTTCCTAAAAACAAACAAGAATCAAACCTATAGTAATGACAAGATAATCAGGCATTAATCTTGGATAGCTAAAAAGCTATTAAAACAGTCTAGGACAGCTTATCATGAAGCCTGTGGATGATCTTTATAAAAAGGAAAAAAAAAAAAACCTCATTTCATGCTCTGCAAAAGGAGAGACTCCCATGAAGCCTTTTGAAAGGGATCATCATGCAGCTCAGCTTTCTGTTGGATTCCATGCTAAGCAAGCTGACCTTATCCTGCATTGTTAGCACTAGGGCACCCAATCGCCAGCTCACAGTCAGCCGCCCTTAGGCTGTTGGGCACACGGGGCAGTCCCTGTGCGTGACAGCCTCTACCACGCAGGGCCTGATTTCGGACTGAGGGGCCAGAAGGAAAAAGCTTCACGTGCCTCTGTGTCTGCGTGGGCCAGAAGAGTCGTACATGCAGATTAGCAGGCCAAGGTCTGAGCCACGGCAGCATTTTTATTTCAGATTTTGATAACTGTTTGTATGTGTTGAAAACCAAAATGACATCTTTTTAAAGCTTGTCCATAAAAAACAAAAGACGTCTTTTATAGTGTAAAACACATGGGAAAAAATCATCTATTTTGATGCAGCATTTGATAATGATAAAACACCTCACACCTCACTCTTTATAGTGCACAAAATGAATGAGGTCTGGGCTAAGTAGAAAAAAGGTCAGTGCTGTTTTGTTTTCTTTTAGAATCATTACCTTTTATCATCTCTTAACCATCTGATATCTATAGTAGACACACTATCATAGTTAACATAGTTAAGTTTGGCACTTGTCTCATTTTAATGTAAAGATTTGCTTCCGTTTTCCTACAGGCAGTCTCTCTCCTTCCTCACAGCCCCATTGTGCAGGTGCTATTGTTGCTTTTGTCAATATTTTCAGAAACGTTATTTTAAGTGAAATTTCTAGCCTGCACTTTGATGTCATGTGTTCCCTTTGTCTTTCAAGCTCCAAGGTTCTCCCTGGCCCTCCCCCTTACCCTGGGAAGCCTTGGAGACCTTACTCTTTGGACTTTGTATACTTTAAATAATTTAACTACCCTTAATTACTTAAAAAAGGAAAAAAAAAGCTTTATGATTTTCATAACTTATTGCTGATTTTAATGGGTTAATTTCAGTCCTGTAGTTTTATTTTGTTTAGATAGGGCTGGGCAAGGAAAAAGAAAGACAACCATATTTAGCAGTGCAGTTGAGTTGTGTGTATAATGTTAAACTATCCTTTGTAAGTAGCACTTTTAACAGCTCTCACTGCTTCTATATATGAAGTGAACCATCTTGGTCATATACAAGGCCTCATCATAAACTTATTTGTTCTTGTGCTCTTCCTATGCCTCCAGAAATATTTTATCCTTGATTGTGGTATGTTTGAGTGAAAGAAATTCTTTGAAGTAGATGTGTGAAAAACTGCATGCCTTTAGAAGCCCATTATTAGAACTTGCTACTTCAGGTGCTGGGGACTTAATGCAAAATATGGTAAAAGAAATTTGTTTCTGTGGCCCAGGTAAATTATTTCTGGTTTCATTTATAATTACTCCTGGCCAAGTCAAAATATTCCTCTATATGCTTACTTTTGACTTTCCCAAGGCAGACAGTTTGAAGACTCTGCTAACTACCATGGAAAGTAAATGGAAGCCAGTGAGTGTTTCTGTTTTGTTATTCCCATGGCATTCACTTGAATCACTTGCCTAGGGCTGGAATTTAGGACTTCATTTAGGTGAACTTGAGGCGCTGCCATTTTGCTGTATATGTACAGGATGGTGGGCTGGGAAGCCTTTGTCACAAACCTATAGGACCTATTTCAACTGCCCCCTAAATTACTCCTTCCCTGAATTTGTTTTCCTTGGGGGAAGGGAATGGATTGTATGATGAGTAAGTATTAATTTTTTAAAAGACAAACTGACTTTGAAGATACAAAAAGTTAACTGCAAGAAATAAAAATTGTGAATGAAGAATACCCGAGTGCTTTTTGTACCACCCTTCTCTATGAAGGAGAAAATACGAGTGAACATCCACGCCTTGAGAGGCAACTCTCTCTCTCAGTGTCCATGTTGATACTACTTCAGTGGTCGGAATTAATGGCAGTTTGAAATCATTGCATTTCCTATTCTATAGTTTTACAACAGGTGCCTTCTTGACTGATAATTCCATGTAAACTAACTGCAGATGGTTTAATGTACCAAATAATCTTAATTTCTTTAGGCAGGACACAGAGCCATTTATCATTATCTGTTCTCCAAATAACTTTTTAGGGAATCCCTTTGGCTATATACTATTATTCAAATTGACAACCAGTCTGGAGGGTCCCATTTAATGCTAACCTGAGTTAACACTGCCCCCTATATAAAAGATCTGCGTGCTATGATGTGTGCTCAGTTACTCAGTCATGGCGGACTCTTTGAGACCCAAAGGACTGTTGCCCGCTAGGCTCCCCTGTCCATGGGATTTCCCAGGCAAGAATACTGGAATGAATTGCCATTTCCTCCTCCAAGGGATCTTCCTGACCCAGGGATAGAACCAGTTTCTCTTGCGTCTCCCACATTTTCAGGTGGATTCTTTACCACTAGTGCCACCTGGGAAGCAACAACAGCTTTTAGTATTATGAAGGGATTTTAAAAGACAATGAGAATTACTGAGGCAAACCTTCTAAACCTAAGGCCACACGGATGGTTTCCTGGGTCATTTCTCTTGAGAACTGTTTACCCTCTAGGTAAAGGTTTACCAACTGTTTACCCTCTTGCTAAAGGTTTTTTCGTTTGTTTTCTTCCACTTAGTCCTTTTTCTTCCATTATCCTTCCACCTCAAAATATTCCATAGCCCCTTCCAAAAACCATAACAGAACAAGGGTTTTGGCTACATTTAAATAGCAGTTTTAACATTTGCTAAGGATGCTGGGCAAGTTACTGAATTTCTTCATGAAGACTGTTTCCTTCTGAAAAAGTTGTTTAAAATACTACCTCTATTCTGAAAGACTGTTAAGGATTAAAACTGACATAGGTAATTCAACCCCACCCTCACAATCTAGGGGCTTGTAGCACCTAGATTAAGAGGTATAAACTCCTGTACTTTCTCTGATGAATGCAACCTCTAATCTCTTCATCTTTAACTTTAGTTATTCTAAAGTTAAAGACTTTAGAAAGTCTTTAAAGTTAAAAAGACTATTATTAAAATGGTTCATTTTCACAAAATTCTGTGGCAGGTTACACATTCTAAGACATAAATTTTGACATCCGATAGGAATTTTTAAATAAAGGCTTTATAAGAATCATGTATCATCGGTTTTAGTGATTACCTGGTCTTCCTAAAAAAAGAAAAGGACCTGAGTTTGAGTATGTTATACACTGATAGTAACTGCTGCATAATAAATTGAGTGCCCCAGTTAATATTTTAGTGCTGGCCTCACCATGAAAAAGCATATTTGCCTATGTACTAGATCTAACAGGAAACTAGTTTTCTTATGGAATACATCTGATTCTTTTAAATAACAAGTGTAGTTCAAAACAGAGTACTGGTTGGCAGCTTCACTTCTTCCTTGTTCTGCCTTTGTGCTCAGTAACCCAGTTGTGTCCGACTGTTTGCAGCCTCATGGACTCTAGCCCTCCAGGCTCCTTTGTCCATGGAATTTTCCAGGCAAGAATGCTGGAGCAGGTTGCCATGTCCTTCTCCAGACAATCTGACCCAGGGGGTTGAACCAGAGTCTCTTTCGTCTCCTGCATTGGCAGGCGGATTCTTTACCACTAGTGCCACCTGGGAAGCCCTTTACCTTTTAATACAGTAATTGATTATTAGGGGAAATGACTTAAAATGAAAATGAAGCTCTTTTAAAGTTCTGCCAACTTCCTATAAGTTTGGACTTTTCTATTTTCTCAAGCTCTTAGCTATGGAGGAATGCTTTTAAAAATCTTTACCAGTAGGACAGTAATTGGGATATTCTAGATTTTCATACCAGGGCACAGAATAACATTGTAAAAAACATAAAAGCCATAAAATACCTCTAAAATGTATATAATACAAATTTAAGAAGTCAACTGTTTCTAAGTTAGCAGCTTCATCACATTCACTCTGAAAGGTCAACTAAACTTGACGGTGCTTTTGGAGGGAAAAACTCTGGGCAAAAGAACCAAATGGATACTTACTCCTCCTTCCTGCATACTTCTGGGCAATGAACAACTGGACAATTACCATCTATTAAAGACTAGCCTAGCTGCGGATGTCAGACTTCAACACTAGTTTTCCAAAGTTAAGTGTTTGCTCCTGAGTCAAGTGTTTCCTCCAAGCCTGAATTGTTTCTGTGGTCAGAAATTCACTGCATCTTGCTAAAGTGAGTTGGGCTTAAAAGGGGGAAAAAACAAATGCACATCAGTTCCACCAAAAAAATGAAAGTCATGAGCCAGCAAAATAATCATCATGATTTTGGGCCCTCAAGCTGACAGATTAGCTCTTCAAACATTAAAAAACAAAAAAACCCTTTTCTTCTAATGAGCATAACCATGGTTTCTTTAGCTGTGCTGTTTAACTGGGGAAACAAATTACAATTTTAATAATTGTAACAAGTCCAGTAACAAGTCTACTCGTCCTGTAAAAATGAACTGGTCAAGTGCTTGGTGGAAGTAAACTGCCAGTTTTTTTCTTTCCAGCAACTAAAAGATGACTTAAGTATCCAAAATTTGGTATTTTTAGTATAAGTTCAGCTTATTCTCAGATCTGCTCTTCCCTGCTCAAGGCACACACAAAGAAACTTAGGTTGGTGCAGAAATAATTGGGATTCTGCTTTGTTGACCTTTTTTGTTTGACATTGGAATACATTCTTAATCACTTTAATGTGCATTTCATGCTTTTGTTTTTTTGCTAGTGGCTTGTTACTTGCTGTTTATATTTTAGACTATGGAAATAATACTAAGACAAAAAGCAATTTGAGTGATTTTCTTAAGTTTAAAATGGGTTGTAAAGCAACAGAGACAACTCACAACAGCACATTTGGCCCAGGAACTCCTAATGAACGTACAGCACATGGTGGTTTAAGAAGTTTTGCAAAGGAGGAGAGAGCCTTGAAGATGAGGAGCGCAGTGGCCAGCCATCAGAAGTTGACAACGACCAACAGAGAGCCATCGTTGAAACTGATCCACTTACAAGAGAAATTGCCAAGGAACTCCACGTCGACCATCCTATGGTCGTTCAGCATTTGAAGCAAATTGCAAAGTTGAGAAACCTCGGTAAGTGGGTGCCTCGTGCACTGCCCACAAAATCAAAAATACTGTTTTGAAGTATTGTCTTCTCTTATTCTACACAACAATGAGCCATTTCTCAAGACTGTGACATGATGAAAAGTGGACTTTATGTGATAACCAGCTCAGTGGTTGGACTGAGCACCTCCAAAGAAGTTCCCAGAGCCAAACTTGCACCCAAAAAAGGTCATGGTCACTGTGTGGTGGCCTGCTGCTGGTCTGATCCACTACAGCTTTCTGAATCCTGGCAAAACTTACATTGAGAAGTGTGCTTAGCCAACTGAGGAGATGCACCAAAAACAGCAACTCCCACTGCTAGCACTGGTCAACAGCAAGGGCCTAACTCTTCTCCACTACAGGGCCTAACCGCAAGTCACACAACTGCTTTAAAAGTTGAATGAATTGGGCTATGAAGTTTTGCCTCATCCTCCCTTAATCACCTGATCTCTCGCCAACCAGATACCACTTTGAGAATCTTGACGATATTTTTTTGCAGGGAAAATGCTTCCACGACCAGCAGGAGGCAGAAAATGCTTTCCAAGAATTCACTGAATCCCAAGGCATAGATTTTTATGCTAAGAATAAACTTATTTCTCGTTGGCAAAAATGTGTTCATTGTAATGGTTCCTATTTTGATTAATAAAGATGTGTTTGAGCCTAATTATGACTTAAAATTCACGGTCTGAAACTGCAATTACATTTGCACCAACTTAATATATACGTAAGCTGAAAGGTAAGTGAAGACCCTCACAGAAATCCAACACCTTCATCTCTGTGTTTTTTTTTTTTAAAGTACTTACTCTGGCAAGGCCAAAACAAATTCATAGAAAGTCAATATTGGTTTCTGAACCTCTTGAGATGTTTCTTAAGAGTACATTTATACAGATATGCTTTTAAAAAAAAGATCACAGTATAAGGTGATTCAGTAACTTTGGTTTTGTTTAAACTATGGTATTACCTGTTATTTTACCTGCTATGCTCTTCCTCTCCACTGCAGTAAAAATTCAGTCTAACTTGCAACTCAAAAATCCTAGATATAAAGAATGTTTACATTTACTACTGAACTTGTAAATTATCATTTATACTACTTGGTGGTTTCATAGTATAATACAAATACTTAATACAATCCAGTGCATGTTTATTGAACTCTACATATTTTAACATATACAAAACCTTATTGGTTTTAATAGATTTTCTTCCTTCTTTTATATTTCAGTTAATACCATGTTGAAGCAAAAATTCAAATCAAAGCTTTAAAAATACTTAATTTGTAAGTGGTATTTTTCACCTTATATAATCACAATCTACAGACATCACACAACTTAAAAACTATGAATTTCCTTTGTCACTTAATGGTTTTCCCTTGCTATTTTAAAGGCAGACACAGCATTAAAACTGCACTGCAATGGAAAGCCACACATATGCACACCTATCACTATGAAAAAAACAAGCATTTTAAAAAATGAGTTATTACATTAAACGGATATATTTCATTTTGGTTTGATGCCTAAGTCTTCATAATAGCCCATCTTCTGTGGGCTCAGAAAACTGCCGCAACTAAAACTTAAAATTGTTTTTTTGGCAGGTGTTAGGACTGTCCTTTCCTTGAAACAGTCAATAACAAAGTCAAATGCAAAGTTCTGAGAAGACAAATGCAACCATAGCTACATGGGGACCATTAAGTATGGTTCAGTCCATCAGTTTCAGAGCTTCAAGTCCCCTTTCTTGACAAGCAGGGAAACTACATTAAATTTTGTACAACAAACCTTCATAAGACCAAGCATCATATTTGATTTTAGAACACTTGAGAGGTTAACCACCTGCATTTGTAAAATACTATTGGTATCATGCTTCTCAGTAAGCATTTCTCAACTTCAGCTTCACACTATGAGACAGGTCCCCCCAGGATTCCTAATTTTTAAGTTTAGTCCAGAGATTCGATCATCATCCTGAAAACAGGATTTCTCAAAGGGTCACATCTACATCTTTGACACAGAGCTCTTGATTTCATGCCATATGCCTATTTGTAAAAGGAAGGCCCATAGGGCCAAAGGAGGCACAGGTTTACCAAAAAAATTAAAATTCATGAAATAAAAAATTTTATTTTCCCCTTCTACCAAAAATTTACAAACATCTCTATTAAACACAGCCCTTAAAAAGAAAACTAGTTTGTCCTTTAGGATCCAATTTCTTATGTCCAATATAAGGAGTACATAAAGATTTACCGAAACCTTTATTACTTACTCAATATTCTTTTCTGTGGAAATGATGTATGCTTTATCACTGTATCAATGCTGGCAGCTAAGACTTTACCTATTGGTTAACACACCCTGGAGATTTTAAAAACACTTTATTTAATAAAAGTTAAACATACAAAAACTGAAATTAACACACATCTTAAAAATCATCTTCTTCCACTAATAGGAAGACCCTTTTCTATGCATATATTTGGCTTAAACTCAACTCAGGGTAATTGTGAAGTTCACTTACCAACAAATGCTGACAACTTGATCTAGTTAACAAAAATTATAAACTCAGCTACATGAACATAATATACAGGGAAATTATGGTCAGATTAATGCACAAGAAATACAGTAAATTTTTAATGATGAAACATTCAGTACTCTTGTTCATTAATTTAGCCTTGTTTTTTACAAAAATAGTATCTACATTGTATACAGGGCTATACATCAGCTTTTTGTTTTCTCATATAAACATTACACATCCAAAAAATGTCACCACTACCATTAAGTGAAAATCAACACAGGAGGAAAGCAAACATACAAAAAAAAAAGAACATTAGAAAAGGTAGCTGGTCCTAAACATGGTTTCTTACATAAAACTAAAATTCAATGAAAAGAATAAAGAGCTGGATCAATTTTAGAGATGGCCTAATAGCCTTAGGAAGCAAGTTATTGAGAAAAACCTCAAAAAAGAAAACTTTGCCATTTACCAATTAACCTAGTTTTAAGTTAATTGGGCAACAGCTAAATTTAAGCTGAAGATAAGAAAAACAATGAAGAGAAATTCTTTTTAGCACATTGGTATTTTGCCTTGATGTTCCAGGGAATTGCTAGAATATGTGGCACGTTCAAAGCATCTGAAAATCCCCAGTTAGAACTTTACAAAGTAAAGTATTTACGATCCATTAAGTGGGTACCTGATACTAGGAAGATGAATAATTCATTTAAGTGCTGTATTTATGCAGCATTTATCTAGAAAAGTTGCTTTATCCAATAAACTTTGAGGAAACTGGTAGTAGTAATGAAAAAAAAGTTTAAATGAGTAGCAGTTATTAAATGCAATTTCAAGTTTCATTCTATTGAAGTCAAACAATGACGACAATGGTATCTTCCTTACTCATCTAACAAATAATTTACCTTTAGAAAAATATAAGGATAAAAAGGTAAATGTAAAGCCCTGCAGAGATGAAATCCAACAGTTTTTCTGACTATTGCGGCATCAAATGCCGAACATTGTATTTGGAGGTATCCTGATACTGTGTCATAGGTTTATCAGCGATTCCACAAGTTCCCACTCCAACTTTGCCAGTGACGCTCTCAGGTGAAGCAAAAATACTCCTCTTTACCTAGAGGAAACAAAACAAGAAGAGTTCTTGATTGGTTTTGGAAAAAAATAAAATTTCAAAATACACCTTTAAGGAAAAGTACATCAAGAAAACTTGAGTGCTCAAAAAATCCTCCAGTGTTACCCAACATAAGTAAGGTTCAATACACTCTATAAACAAATAGCTTTTCAAATTTTAGCTTATAAAAGAAAATAACCTGTATCTTTTGTAATTCCTAATATAATATAACCTCATTCACAGTGCTTCCACTGCAGAGACAGTGGCTAATGGGGATATTTTATATTAAGTAAAAAAGAAGATTAAAGAGGATTCTGAAGTCAAGATCCAGTTTATTTTTTTAAATCTCATTGAACCTCCTTTTTCATTTTAAAGTTATTTTAATGACAGCTGCACTCTGCAAATTTACAAAGTATGTGTGATGAAAGGATTTACTAACCTGGCCTTTTTTGTTTTTAGAATAGGCTCTGTTGTTGAACTGTTGCCATTTCACCTTCTGGTCCTCTCTTTCTTGTTCAAGTTCTTTTATTCTCTGTGCTTTTTTCAAAGCTTTCTTCTTTTTATATTCACGCTGCTGGGCAATCATTTCTTTTCTGTGTGGACAGAACAGGTAAATGTCAACTCAAAATGACTTCAACTAAAAGATGACTTCAGTGCAACCACTTTCCCGCCAAAGAAACCCCAAAATCTAATAAGCTTACACACTTTTCCCTCCACAAATAAAAGCACTAACATCAATGCCAATCACTCAGGACTAATAATAAATAAATGTTATTTGGAATATACAGTATCCGTGGAAGCTTTAAACACAACTGCAGTGATCTATATTACCCTTTTAAATCCAATATTTCAACTGAATTTTAATTTGTCATTTATATAGCTTTTACAAGTTTTTTTCAAGAAAAAGATGAGTTTCAACATGAAAAGCTAACTAAACCTTTATCAATTTTTAAATAGGGAGTTAGCAAGTATGATATGCTGCATTTGGAAAATGCAAAGATTCAATGCAGATAAAACTATTTCATCTAGATTGGAAGAGCTCAGCAGCACAAAGGGAAATCATAGCAAGCAATTCTTATAACAACAACTAGCGTTTTCCAATCAGAGCCTAAAGTTCTCTCAGTAATTCCTGCTAAGTTAACACTGACTTATCACCAAAGGAATGACTATAGAGGTCTTCAAAATGAGGTAATATGATTCAGACTTCTCTGTATCATAGAATCACTTCCATGAAGTATAGTTTTTGACACAATGCCAAAGACTAAAAATAGAAATGTCATGTTGTTCTACAATCTATTTTTCTTATTGGGATGCTTAAATCAAATGTTACTGTTAATAGATGACTTATTTTCCCAAATTCAAATATATTTATGTAGCAAATTAAGTTCTCAAAACACCTAGACAAATCCAAAAGACAGCAAACTGTGACAAATACGCAGAAGTTAACTGAAAACTGTTAATTCCATCTCCTAAATAACTCTCAAACCATACATCCTTACTGCTACTCCCTGGGTTCAGGTCACCATCATCTTATACCTGGATGATAGCAGTAGCTGCCTTCTCTCTGCTGCCACTCACTAATCACTCAAAAGTTGAAATATGAACATATCAAATCCTCTCCACTTGAAATGCATCAGCGGCTTTCTAGCTCTTTATGATCTGGCCTCTACCTTTCTAACCCTTTCTCTTGTTAAGCCACCCACCCTCAAGCCCCAAGTTTTTAACCAAAGGATTTCTTTCTATTACTTCTATGTCCCCCACCACCCATTTTTTGGTTTTAAATGTAAATGTTACTTCTTGTTTAACTTAACTTACTTGTTAAGTCATGTCTGACTCTTTGCAACCCCATGAACTACAGCCCGCCAGGTTCCTTTGTCCATGGAATTTCCCAGGCAAGAATATTAGACTGGGTGGCCATTTCCTTCTCCAGGGGATCTTCCTGACCCAGGGATCGAACCCATATCTCCTGCATTGGCAGACAGGTCTTTATCACTGAGCCACGAGGGAAGCCTAGGTGTCAAGAACTGTGCTACATGTTTTACTCAAGCTTTATCAATGAATCCTTACAACCCCATAACAGAGATACTACTATTCCTGTTTTACAGATGAGGAATCAGAAAGCAAGCAGCTTGCTCAAGATCATACCTTCTAGAGTTCATTAACTGGCCAACATCCGTCCTTTTCAAATCTCAGTTTACATGTCATTTCCTCCAAGAAATTTGCCCTCATGACAAAAATGCAGCTTATTACCTTTTCTTTGTTCTCTAAAAGTATCTGTTGTGTTCCCTCCATTACTTCTACACTAAAGTTCTTCTTTAATTATGTGTCTAGTCTTTAGATTGTAAACGCAGTTAGGACAAAGCCTAATTTGGTCTTCTTTGCTGCGGTGGAACCCAGTACCTGGTTTAGTGAGACGTACATAGTATCCTCTTAATAAATATGTATTAAATGCCTAAGCAGGAACTCCAAAATGTCTTCACTTTACCTAGGTATACGTATTAATAGACATTGTTAACCATACACTGCTAACCTTCAAAATTAACTGCTAACTCTTCAATTGTAAACAGTATTGTAACTTTCATACCCTAATCTAGCCTGCACAGATTCTGCAGACAACCTCAAATACCCAAATGGAAAAAATTACATTTAAAATGTTAAAAGTCAAAGTCACTTACTTTGACATGGGTTTGTTGCCACTGTCTTCCTTTGCCTTCCTTCCTTCTTCTACAGGCTTGAGGTTCAACAGTGGAGTCACTTCAGCATTGCCATAGCCAGCAAAGGTGATTGCAGCGGTGCCGTTTTCTTCATCTATCTCCTCAATCTCCGCTTCATAACACCTGTAAAGATATCATGGCTGTAAGCAGGTGAGTAAAGGTTTAGTACTCAGCCTATAAGACTTATACTGCAGTGATTCAACTATTAAATGTGTCTAAAATGAAACTTATACAATCAAATGTACCTTTGGCAAAGATAATACGAAAGAGCAGCTAGAATTAGCCATTGCCTTTTAAGAAAGTCCCAATCAAAATATTGCCCGGAAGTCTCTGACACATCTACTAAATGTGTTTTAGTCAATTTCTGTGAGAAAACATACTTCTTATATGAATCATTTCAGTATATGTGGTCTAAGAGAGCCAACCATTACTCAATTTTCAATCCAAGGAAAAAAGAACTTTTAGACTGTATTAAAATAAAGAAAATCCATTCACTTTCCTCTATTTCGTGTCTATTTCCTCTAGCATCCAAGCCATTCTTCTGCCCTAAAACTTACTCTAAAGCTAAAAACTAAACTATAGTAATGGTAACCACCTAAGAATCAAACTGGTTGTGTAAGTCTATCAGCTATATAAAGACTAAAATAGAGTAGTTCAAGCTGAATAAAAGTCACCTTACCATTGTACTTTACTAGTTCATGTTACAGTTACAGTTTTTTTTCTACACTTACTGTCCATCTTCACTCCAGATTGCCATACACTTGTCTCCCACTTTCCATGAATGAGTGGGCTGAGTAGAAGCAAAGTTGTCTGAACTTGCCAGAGTTTCAGAAGGCTGAGTTGATAGAAGGTCTTTGGTTAGTTCAATAACCTCCTAAAAAGGAAAAACAAAAACCATTATCTTTATAATTCACATTGTCACCTACTTTCAACAAGAAAGTTCTTTCAGTTTTTGATAACAGCTCTCATACCATGCAGCACTCATTAACTACTCTACACATATTTGCAGTTCATAACGATACTATGATGTAGATACTGTGATTATTCCCATGTAGAAACTAAGATAAAACATTTTATACAGTGGTGGTCAGACTTAAACCTAGGCAGTTGCCTTTCAATTTAATTAACCTCTAATACTAACAGAAATACAGTGGACTTGAATTTACACTGTACATTATTTTTAACCACCTATTTTAGCTAAACAGATCTCTCTAAAGGTGATAAATAGTCAGGCACTGAACTAGATTGAAGATCCTTTTATCTCATTATCACTGTCACATGAATTTTTTACAGGGCATTGCTTGGCAGTAGTATTAACTGCCTAGCCAACAGGGATGCTCTCCTCGCAAAAAAAAAATAACCCCCAAAAAACTTAAAGGAGCATTAATAAAAATGTTCCTGCTCATATGTATTTCTACTAAAATACTATAGGCATATATAAAAAAACAGTAGTTTTTCTATTCATTTATTCTAATACTTAACCCATCTGGGTAAGCAAATTACCAAGTCAGATTTAAAATATCCCAATACTATAATGTTAAACACATTAGCACAGCTTCAACTAAAAGGAAAAAGTAAAATAAATATAACAGACAGGTAGGCAAAGCCTTTCTGTGTGACAAATACATTTTCTAACTTAGGCTTAACACTTACTGCTGCTGCTAAGTCGCTTCAGTCGTGTCCAACTCTGTGCGACCCCATAGACGGCAGCCCACTGGGCTCTGCCGTCCCTGGGATTCTCCAGGCAAGGACACTGGAGTGGGTTGCCATCTCCTTCTCCAATGCATGAAAGTGAAAAGAGAAAGTGAAGTCGCTCAGTCGTGTCTGACTCTTAGCGACCCCATGGACTGCAGCCTACCAGGCTCCTCCTCCATGGGATTTTCCAGGCAAGAGCACTGGAGTGGGGTGCCACTGCCTTCTCTGCTTAAACTTACTGAATTCATTCAAAGGTGTTTGGTAGAGTTGGTTAAAAAACTTAATAAAAACAAATTGATAGATTCTGCTACCAATCTGCTATATTTTTACTCTGATGAAGACTCATCCTTTGCTGTTGCATATAAAATACCTTAAACATCACACTGTATGTCTTGGGAGAAAAATTAGCAAAGTTACACCCTGTATTCAGTTTCTCCTGGCTCCCACTGAGGTTTAATAATAGCCAAGCAAGTGAAATATTACTTTTCTCCTAAAGATTTTAAATCTTCCCAGCTAGTTCTTAAAAACTTATATTTGAGCCTTAAGGGGGGGAGGGAGATTATTAAAGCCCTTGGAGAAAGATCAGTTTTATGAATAAAAAAATTTTACAAATGAAAATACTAGAAAATTCAGATTTAAGTTATAAATTCAGTAGATTAATAACTTAATGAAGTTCTATTAGGTGCCAAGTAGCCATTCAAATACCTTTTAATTAGACAATCCTTTGCAAATAAGCAAGGGATGTCCAAATAGATGATGTACTACACAAAGAAGGAGAGTAAATTATCCAGTCTTGTTTTTAATTAACCACTTTTAGCACTAGGAATAATCCAGTAAGTCTGACTCAAAAGCCTATACAATTCCTATTATTAAATAATTCCATTTAACTAGGGATCACTGGACTACTAATGCACAAACCTAAGTCTGTGTTTTTAGATCTCAAGATTTAGAACTCTACTTCTCTTAGAATAAAACATCTTTCCACTATGTTTTCATAAAAAAATACATTTTAACCAAAGAGAAGGGTCCTGAAAAGCTATGCAGTTATAATTTCCAGGGCCCTGCACTGAAAAGACACTTTAAAAAAATCCAAAGCATTTATTTCTACCTGTCTTTTCACTTTGCCACGTTATATATACATACCCCTCCCAACAATTATGAAGACCCTTCTAAATGTCTTGTTTTTATTCACATGTGCATATGGACCAAAGTATTATAAATATGATTTCATGTATGAGGGAGTTCTTAAAGGTACATACCATTAATTACTTTTCCTCCCCCAAGTCTGAGTTCTGAAACTGCTCCTTCATTGACAGATGGGCAGCAGTTACAGTAATCGGCAATTCCAGGAAGCATCAGATGTTGTGATCTACATATCAGCAGGTCAAAGGGGGTGCATTCAAGCACTCTGCTTACTGAAGGAAGGCGTTTCGGGGATGCAGAGAGCCACTGTAATATATGAGACAAGTGACTTGACCCCTGCCTCCTTTAGAACCAGTTTATTCAGCAAAACAGCCTAATAAATTGACTATTTTTTGTGATTATCACAGACTGCCTGGGGAGCTAGTCAGCTAGCTAGCCTGGATTTTACTAAACTCACTTCTTTAAAGTGAAAAAAGAAAACAAATTAGGATTTCAGAAGATTGATTTGCTGCCTATTGAGTAACTTTATATGAAAGACAGTGTGTGAAGAGACAAACATAGAAGCCTTACTGGCAAAATGAAAGTCACTAGAAAAAATGCAGAAAAAGGATTCTGCATAAATGAAAGTGCAAATTCTTAACCAGAGTAAGGATATTCCATAAAAGGAACACAAAAAAATAAAGGAGACTACAAACTCAGTCATCAGTCTGAGACTTTTCAGCAAATATAAAAGGTAGAGTTAAATACCAATGCCACAAGGCATATCTCAGAAAGCAAGGAAGGAAAGGATTTTTTAAAAAACAAAAACCTATGACAAAATAGAAGCTGTAGCTATAATCAATGGAGATAACAATTACTAGACAGAAGCAGATAGCAAAATATTTTTCAGAATTTTACCTAATATTAAATGATGTGTTCCATCTTTGAGTAGTTTCCAGTTCAAAAACAAACCTATATCTAGTAACCAAAATCACTGCTTTTTTTCCACGAGAGGAAAAAATTTGAGGTCAAGGTTGGTCGGGAAAAACACTCTCTGTTATTGCTAACTGAAGTGTTAGAACATACGCTTCTAAATCTGTGCCATCTGATATGGTAGCCACATATGGTTACTTAAATAAAATTAAAAATTCAGTTTTTCAGCTATCCTAGTCTAATTCCAAGTATTTGATAGCCCATGTACCTAGCAGCTATAATATTGTACAGCAGATATAGAACATTTCCATCACCACAGAAAGTTCTATTGGACAATGTTTTTCAAAATGGTTATTTAAAAAAGAATATTTTACAGAACGACCTCCAGGTCATTATTAACTGAACCCTAAGTAAGCAATTTACCTGGTCACTACAATGCCTACAACAATGGTCTCCCTCCCTACAGTATTTCCACTATAGATCATGGCCTAACACAATTCTGCCCAGACTCTGAAATGTATTCCAGAAATACTAAAATACCAAGACTCATAATAATGCTGTCTTCACTCCCAACTCCCCCCTTCACCAGTTCCACACATACCCCTCCCTCTTACTGCCAATTAAATACAGGAAGCAATGTATACAACATTGCACAATGTTTTATTTTCTTCAAAGAAAAAAAGGACTGCTTTTAAGTTGCTTTTTAATAGAGAGATAGGTAGGTCAGGCTCTCTAAGGCAAGCAGAAAGTTGGCTTGAGATGAGAGAAACTGCTCCCAAAACATCTTTTTTCTTACTGACTGGCTCCCTGAAATTCACTGGCCTGACTTCTACATACTGATGAGAGGCCTTGGTTTCTGTGTTTGTTTTTTGTTTTTTTAAATAACATACTATTGCAACTTCATGCATGTCTCATGCACGTCTATCCTAAGTCCAGAAATTGAACCTGAAAATATTCAACTCATTTAAATTATGCCCAGGTAAGCTCTTTTAGAATTGAGTCTCTTCCCCATTTAAAATAAGTTTTGTTTGTTTGCAGTTCTACAATCCCTAAAATATTGATAGTTTTAATTGGCAAGAGGATGATATTAAATGGAGAGAAATGATATGTAGCATGAAGATGATCTGAGTTGTTTTGAATCAGTGAAGATAAGTCATCTAATCAAAACGTCTTTTAAAACTCTCCAAAAAATTAGATTCAGAATTAGATGAAAAGCCATAGATATTTACAAATATTATATATGGTATTTTTATTAATCAACCTAGTGTTGTAAGAAACAACAGATATTTACTTCTATGGCTTTATGTTGTCTTAAAACCCCAGAGCAAGTTTTAAAAAGCTGGTTTCATACTTACTGCTCTTCCAGGACAAAAAGAACACATTAAATTAAGATCGCCTTTTTACATAGATTCGGTTTAATTTCAAGTTGCTAACAAGTGTCAACAATTACATATAAGACGTAGCCTTAAGTTCAAACATTATGTAACATTTATGCAGAAAACAAACATCTCTTTAGGTATTTTTATAATGTGTTTTCAACACAAGGACTAGAGCTAGCTTTGTTAAACTTACACACACACAGGATCTCTGGCATGGGTGTTCTATTTCATTTTCAAAGAAATCTTGTGGCATTGAAAAGAATTTGATACAACCTGATTAGGTTATATTTTCCTCCTTTAATTTTAGTTATCCTTTGAAGTAAAATTCGTTTTCCAGGTCTTGAAAAACAGAAATGTTATCCACTATCAAGTTATATGTTATCTCTTTCTCTACAGTGATAGTGACTTATAAAATTAACTCTTACTTTTAAAAATTATAAGAGCATATAAGGGTGACACAACAAAGAACTATGTTTCAACTGTTTTGAGGTACACAAACTAAGGAAGCAATCCTTCTCCTAGAAGCCATGTATGCCTCTGTGCTGCACACATGTACACACAGGGGGTGTGAAGGGGAGAAACACTCCCTCCAAAGGTATTTTGGGTACCCATAGATTCTAGGCAATAAGCCACTTAAAAGCCACAGAAATACTCCTTTCAAGCAATGAAATTATTAAGTATCACCCCATACTTACTTGTAAATCTTTCTTTAATTTTAGTAAATCTTCATTTTCTCCATTTCCAGACAGCGCAGCCTCAACTTGCTGGAGTTGAGCTTTGTAGCTTGCCAGCTGCTTTGCTAGATCCTCTGACATCTGGTGAAAACAGAGTAAAGTCATTAAAACAGAACCAAAAAACCAAAACATAAAAAAAAAAATTTTTTTTTGGTCGGCCTGAATTAACCCTTACCAATTTTGTTCCCAACTCCTTATTATAATTCACTGCAGCATAATTTATTACTAATACCTTTACTTGCATTTCAGAGAAAAGCTGTGCGCCAAACCAGAAACTTCAAGTATTCTGAAGATTATAAACATGTAAGATATATTCCATATAGAAACAGAAAACGAGATAAGGTAAAAAAGGAGAATAATTTCTAATTTTCTTTAAACTACTAACAGGGAAGAGACACTGTGTTAGGCTCAAGGAAAAGGACTGTTATATCATCACCAAAAAATAAAACAAGAAGGAACTAAAGAGTTGACAGAATTGAAAAAATAAAATAGAAGGCAGTAAGCTGTTGAGTTGAGGCTTCCGATTTTTAAGGGCTAAAAAGTACTTCGAAAGCCAAATATAAATGGCTTTGGATTAACTACACAAATAACTTTCTCCACAAGAGCTGTAATACGAGTGTTTAGAAACTTCTTCACAGTGCAAAAACCTTTCACCCAGTCACTTAAATACTGCCAATGCATTTTTCCGCAGTAAAAGAAACATCACAGATACTCTCCAGTTTACGCAATCTAAAGTGCGTGCCTTTCACCAAATCCAGCTCTACTTTTGAAAATAAGACCGGAGAGAATTCTTCCTCGTTTTATTAGCAAACGTACAGGGTTTCCGAAACCCGTCTGTTACAAATCCCGGCCAACCACATCCCGGAGCCTGGAAGGACTTCCAAAGGGGTGGTGCAAGCCAGGCTGCTCCCCTTCAGTCACCCTACACCTCAAAGCCCGCCACAACTAGCTCGACCATTTCAGACATCGAAATTCCAACAGCTTCCAAGGAAACCGAAAACAAGAACGGAGCCGAGGACCCAGGAGCCGGAGCCCCACCCGCTAACAGGCTCCGCACAGAAGGGCCGAAGGCGTCTTTAAGATGCCTCCCGCGACCCAACCCCACCCGTCTGGTGTCCGCGGCTAGCCCAACTCCGTTCAGGGACGCTCAGGGCTCAACTCTGCGTAGAAGAGGAGGCCGGCGCCCGGGCGTCTCCATCGCGGCCTCAGCCTCTGGCCTCCGGTTCAACTCGTGAGAGGTCGAGGCCCAGCGAGGCCTCACTGCCTCCCTCATCGCGTTACCTTGTGTGGGGTTGGGAGAGTGGCGACAGGAAGGGGTAAGGGGCAAATGAGCCCAGCGGTGGCAGCAACAGCAGCAGCAACGAAAAAGTCCGCGTCGACAACTAGTTAACCCGGGCTAGAAACTCGGATCTCAACCGGGAGTGAACTGGAGAGGACTAAAACCGGGGACTGAAGGAGGTATAGAAGAGGCGGGTGAAGTCTCGCGAGAGGTTAAAAATCCTCGCGAGATCTCTCTCGAGTCACGTGATTCCTAGCGCCCTCTACGCCGCCGGTCCTTAATCACGTCAGGGACGTGAAGTGGACCGTGCGGGTAGCGGGGGGAGGCGGCGGGGCGGGGAGGCGGGGCGGGTCTCATAGGTAGGAAATGACGTAGTGGGATGCGCCAGGCGCCGGATGTAGGTTCGTTTTATCTTAGTTCCGGCTCGGAATGGGGAATCCGTTTGGTTATTTTAGATGTGGGCGCATTCCGGTGGATCCTGAGGTTCCCAGGGTGCTGGGTGTCGGAAAGAACTGGGTCTAGTGCAGTATTCATCCTAGAGGTTGGTTCTCAGAGTTTGGTCCCAGCACCATCAGCATTGCCTGGTATTTATTTTTTACAGTAATTTATAATTTATTGCAAAAATAATGCACTATAAATACATACTTTCAATACCCACCTCAGACCTTTGAATCAGAAACGTTGAAGATGGGCTTAGCAGCCTGTTTCAGTAAGCCTTCTACGGGATACCAATGTCCGCCCAAGTGTGAGAACCACTGCTTCATACTAATAGAATAGTAAAAGTCTTAATGGCAACAGAAAGCTGATTAGATTGTGGCAGAACCTATTGGACAGTAGATTAGATTATTTAAAACCTATTTTGACTTTTCGAGGGTGGTTACCCAGGCTGTGGACCGCCCCAGGAGCAGGAGCTGTTTACCGTTGTAAACAAAGGCCTTTCGTACCATTAAAAACAAACAGACAAATTTATTTTGTAAGCACTTACTGGTTTTAATTAAGTTTATATAGGTTAATGCCACCCGCAAGGGAACAGTCTTCAAGTTATAATCTTGAATATAAGTAGATTGTGTAAGCACTTAATGTTTAAAAAGAGATGTGTATTAAGTGTAATAATATATACTATTTATGGAGGGTATACAAATCTATCTAGAGATTTGGAGTGGAACCCAAATGTTTTCACTGATTATCCTTCCTACTTTTAATCTTTCCCCCATACGCATGTAATTTTTTCCAATTAAAAAAAAAAAAAACCAAAGCTAAAAATACCTGAGACGCGAAGAGGCTCTATGAATGTCAGGAAAGAAAGTTCCCTGTTTCGTTTTGTACAAACACACACATCCCTCATTGAGTCAGAGATCCTGTAGAGATGAAACCAGGTTAGGTTTGTGGCAGTCAACTTGTAAGAATTGAAAATGCTGCAGAGGGCAGCCACGTGTAGCTAGAATTAAGAAGGAAGACAAACCAGAGGGGATGTACTTTATTAGAAATATGTTAAAAACACGATGTAGTTTTTGACAGTTGCTCCTATTTTAATTGTATATTTTAAGAACTAACATTAGGAGGATCTTCCTTGAAAATAAACTTTACAGCTGTGTAAGTTTGTCACATAAGAACTCTTCATGAACCCCCTAGATCAGAGAATAGGAAAATATGTATAAGCTCCAGTGAAGTTTTTTGATAACTTTGTTTTTAGCATTGCTTTTAATCTCTCCTTCTGTGCAACATAGAGTATATTTGAAAAGGAAAGTTATATTGAATGTTATTAGTTCTCACAAAGAGATAACAGTTGCGTGTGCCAGGCAGCATTATAAACTCTACATATATTCATTTATTTTTCACTGTGATTTGGTGTGTTTTTAGATCTTCAGTCTAAGGCTCTCCCAACTGAGCTATTTTGGCCACTTGGTGTGTTTTTAAAGACAAAACTGAAGCAAGTATAAGCTTTGACTAAGTCTGCTACTTCAAATAGGTGTTCTGACTTACCACCTCCTTTGAAGTGTCAAAATCCTCTTTCAGTGTCGGATTTTTCTTAAAACATTCTGACTCAAAATTTAATCATGTTTATTCTTCAAAAAGAACAGTATCTAAAACCTCTAGTTCTTTAAACCTGGTATTTATTTTAATGAACTCAGTAAGTAAATAAAATTTAAAGATGCCACAGCTATTTCCTTTCACTCCTAAAGAAAATTAAAGCATAGCCATGCCTTTGAAAATGCACCAACTCTTTCCAGAGCATAAAACTATGCAGTAAATTCATACATTAATACATGTTGGTTAAATGGGACGTTGCTTCTTTAGCTTAGCTTTTATCATATCGCTTCACTAAAGTAGCCCCAGATTTTCCTACATTTTTGTATCTGTGCAGATGCCTAATGTGATGAGAGATGTGCACATAGTAATAATAACAATACCCTTTGCCCTTTTTAGTCATAAGTGTTTTGAATGTTGACATGGGGATTTGTTGCAGGGCAAGCTATTGGCTTTTTCTGCCTATTGAGTATTTGGGGGGGGGCGGGTACAGTGCATTCAGAACATATCCTGGGATGACTCTTAGATGGTATCATCCATTTAAGTTTGATGGATAAACAGCCTTGCTGATGAATACAGTTGCTCACCCATCAGAGCAATCCTGATTTGTTCAGTGAAATATGCATTGTCTTGCTAGTCTTTAAGATGTACATTTTCAGCCATTCTGTATCTCACGTGTACCATCAGAGAACAGAAAGCACGCCACTGAAAACAGAAAACGAGGATTTGTTCAGTTTGAAAAGATGATAGTCTAAGGCTTTAAAAGGATCAGAAATAACAGTCATCGAATTTCTTCAGATCAGTTTGAAAGTGATGTTTAACTGTACCCCTATTTTCTCAGTTTAACTGTACTATTTTCTCAGGAATATATTCTGAGGGTAAAAAGAACAGAAACAAAAAAGTCTCAAACATCACAGATTTATTGCTAATAGTAGTATTGGTAAGGTAAGATAATTTTAAAACTTGTCTGTCTACTCTAGATAAAGTTAATAATTAGTAAGTTTTTGTTAGTTAAAACTCTAATAAGAGGGAACAAGTATTAAATAAATAAGAGGGGAAAATATTTTAAAAAGAAGTTTTTTTGTGTCAAGTCCTCTGGTGTTAAATTTGAATTTTGAATATATATTTATATATCTTAGAAGTAATGTTACCCTAGTGGAGGGTGCCCATATCTTGATATCTAAATACCATTCCCCATGAGAGGAACAGTATTTCTTGGAAAAATGATGGATTTAGGGTCTCAGGCCAGAAAGTACAACAGTACAAACCTGAGCCTGGAACATCTTGCCAGAAAACAAGGAAGTGCCCCAAAACAATAATCCTAATAAGGATCAAGTCAAAAACTCAAAGAACCCAGCTTGAGGGGACTGCATTGGCCAAAGATGAGTCAGTCTTGACATTAAAAGAATAAAGACTATGATCAATTATCAAATCGTTCAGTCAGTTCAGTTCGGTTGCTAAGTTGTGGTGGACTCTTTGCAACCCCATGGACTGCAGCATGCCTGGCCTCCATGTCCATCACCAACTCCCTGAGTTTACTCAAATTCATTTCCATTGACTCGGTGATGCCATCTAACAATCTCATCCTCTGTCATTCCCTTCTCCCACCTTCAATCTTCCCTAGCATCAGGGTCTTTTCAAATGAGTCAGTTCTTTGCATCAAGTGGCCAAAGGATTGGAGTTTCAGCTTCAGCATCAGTCCTTCCAATGACTATTCAGGACTGATTTCCTTTAGGATGGACTAGTTGGATCTCCTTGCTATCCAAGGGACTCT